ACCGCACACGGGTGGGCTGAAGAGGAGGCTCAGGGGTGACCTCGTCACTCTCTACAGCTGCCTGAAAGGAGGGTGTAGCCAAGCGGGGGTCGACCTCTTCTCCCAGGCAACCAGCAACAGGACGAGAGGACGTGGCCTTAAGCTGCACCAGGGGAGGTTCTGGTTGGACATAAGGAAAAATTTCTTCACAGAAGGGGTAATTATACACTGCAATGGGCTGGCCAGGGAGGTGGTGGAGTCACTGTCCCTAGACATGTTTAAGGAAAGACTGGATGTGGCACTGAGTGGCACAGTCTAGCTGACATGGCGGTGTTCAGTCAGAGGTTAGACTCAATGATCTGAGAGGTCTTTTCCAACCTGATTGATTCTGTAATTCTGTGACTGTGTGAAGGGTAGCCTTCACCCCACTGTGCTCCCAGGGGCCTGGGCTCTGCCCCCATAGGCCTAGACCTTCTTGTCCAAAAGATTTCCCCAAGGTCCCTTCTCTCCCCTTCCCATTTTTCCACTGTGTTTAACCACATAGAAATTCATCCTGGAAGAACACAGGCCTCTCCTGAGCACAGCTTCCATGGTCTCCCATGGACAAACTCTATCCCCTGCCCAGCAGCTTTCCACAACTGCCAGCCAGGCCCACCACTGCACCTTGGGGTCCCACCCAGCCCCAAGGCTGCAGTGCCCACCGTGGGAGCACCCACCCTGCAATGCCCTTCTCCAGCAGAAGACAATGCTGGAAATTGCCATCAGTGCCAGGCATGCCTTCCAGTCACTGCTAACATCACTCAAGAGTTGCATGGAGTTTTTGTAACAAATATCCTAAAAAAAAAAATCCACACTACCCCAAAAGCAACCAAACCCCACAGCACCATACACTTAACAATGCTTCAAGCACACATTTTTCTTTAAAACACCCAGGATAGGGCACCTGCAGCCATTTTGCTGATGAGGAAGAACTGGTACTTTCTCGCAGTGCAGGAGCGCACGTGCTGCAAAACAGCACAAAGAGAAGCCATGGCTGCCTTCAAGTAAATCCACGCTTTCATCATCTTTTTTTCACTTCTGCTTTTTCTTTTCCCAAGTGTAACACTATTAAAGAGTAAACATAGTTTTCACCTCCAGATTACAGTAATTAAGCACAATAACCAGGTCTTATTTTCTTGTAGCTTTGCCATTTTAAAGGGTAAGAGAAGAGAATGGATGCCTCCTTAGTGGGGATGAGCATAAAAGAGAGAAGACTTTTTTTTTTAAGCTTCTGGCAGTACACTACAACTGCTGGGCAGTATTTGTGCTGGGATCTGGCAAGTCCTTTTAGATTAGTCCAGTGGTTTTCTTTTTTTTTTCCTAATCACCACTTCTATATATATTCCAGATAAGGTGTGAAGGCCTTCCTTAAAAGTTTACACAGCTGATGTCGGTTTCCTTGGTTATCCTTTTATGGATCTATTTCAAGGAGCTTGGAATCTACCAAGGATCTATAAAGCACAAATGAAGATCATGAAGCCATGAGGATCAATCCAGCTACTGACTGTGCTCAATACTGCTCTTCTCCCAGAGTTTTTGAATCCACTTTGTTGTTTCCAAGAGAGTGAGCAGTATTTAATTATAACATTTGCACACAGCTCCATTGTGATCTGGGCACAAAATGACAAGAAATATTGCCTGCCATATTCTTCCTGCCTTGCGGTAAATATTTTACTGTGGTCATCTGCTTGTGCTGCCAGGCTTTGTCCTTTTGAGTCACATCCACATTGTCAAAGCTATTCTGTCATTAGTTAGGGGAAAGGCCTGCTCCAGGACTCCTGTGTGGATGAACTTCACTGTTTTTAAGAGGAGTTTTAAGGTTATTTATTACAAAATGGCTCCAGCTACAGCTACATAGCCTAAGCACCATTAAAGCTTTATACCCCTCCTACAGAGGAATACTTTAGTAGGAAGTCGCACACTTCCCAAACTGTACTTTTTTTCCTGTTGAACACCATGAGCTAATCTGAAACCCTGAGGTTTGGAAAACCCTTGTTTTCTATTAGAACCTGTAATATTCTACTTTCCTGCTTGTTTCATTCAGAGACCCTTTCACAGAATGGGTAACGTTGGAAGGGACCACAGTGGGGCATCTGGTCCAACTTCCCTGCTCAAGCAGGGTCACCCTAGAGAACATGGTACAGGATTGCATCCAGATGGTTCTTGAATATCTCCAGTGAGGAAGACTCCACACTTTCTTTTTTTTCAAGCAAGGCATGATCCAGTTTAATATGCATTAAGGAATATTTTTAAGACATGAAAAGATTGATTTATTTTGTGATTGGGGTTTTTTTTCAACCTGATCATTAAGGTTGAAAAATGATCATTAATGATCATTAAGTCCAACTCCTGGTGCTGCACAGAACAACCTGAGAGTCATACCATGTGCCTGAGAGTGTTGTCCAAAAGCTTCTTGAATTCTGTCAGGCTTGGTGCTGGAACCACTGCCCTAGGGAGGCTGTTTCAGTGCTCAGCCATCCTCTAGTGAAAAACCTTTTCATGATATCTAACCTAAACCTCCCTGACTCAGCTTCATGCCATTTCCTCAAATCCTGTCACTGGTCACAAGAGTGAAGAGAATGGTAATTGTCCCTCTGCTTCCCCTTGTGAGGATGCTGAAGATCACAAACAGGTCTCCCCTCAGTCTCCTCCAGACTGAACAAATCAAGTGGCCTCAGCTACTCCTCATATGGCTTCCCCTCCAGACCCTTCACCATCCTCGTTGCCCTCCTTTGGATGCTCTCTAATGGCTTAATATCTTTCCTATATTGCAGTACCCAAAACTGCATGCAATATTCAAGGTGAGGCTGCACCAGTGCAGAGCAGAGTGGGACAATCCCCTCCCTTGACTGGCTGGCGATGCTTTGCTTGATGCCC